AAATTAATTAGTAAAAACAACTTCTTACTTGTAGCATTTCTCTCGTGCTTTTACTAAGTGTTGTGTCATCTTTTTTTTGTAAACACTTTTACTTGAATCACTTGTTGAAATGGTTGATGCTCTATAAGCCATGGGTGATTCAATAACGTATTCACCAAATAGATCATGTAACTTCTCCCGAATACAATCACTATGCTCACGAAAACTGCTTCCATAGAGTTTTTTGTAAGTAAACTCAACATATTGCATTTTATAACGTGGATCCAAAACTGCAGCCATGGCCAAAATTGGACTATACTCGGACCAATATTTAGAGAACTTCTCATACATTTTGCAAGCCATTATCTTTATAAACGTATCCGAACTTTCTATTTCTTCTTTTAAAGTTCTTTCAACCGTGGAAACTGAAGGAAAATATAAGTTTGCTGTGCAATACTTATTTCCAGAAAAAATGCATGTGACTTCATAAAATACTTCCAAAAATTTGAAAATCTTTTCTAATTTGCCCCATTCTTCATTACTTGGACAATCTAAGTAATTAGAATCACTTAGTGCTAAACGGAAAAAAGCACGACGATAAAAAAGGGCACTTTCAATCATAAGAAAAGTAGCATTCCATCTAGTTGGAACATCTTGTCGCAAGCCTTTATTTGGATTCAAATTAACCTGTTTCACACAATTCAGAAAGTTTCTTTTCCTTACTGAAGATCCCTTCACGTACTTGATAGATTCTCTAATTTTGACAATCCCTTCATCAATAGCCTTCAAGCCATCTTGCACAACTAAATTCAACACGTGAGCACAACATCGAACATGAAAATAATCTCCGTTACTATGAAGTGCACCTTCATTACATAATTGACCTTTTAGGAGATTGACAAAAGTATCATTACTTGCAGCATTATCTAACGTGATTGTAAACAACTTTTTATCAATCCCCCAATTGGTCAATAAAGTAGATATTGTTTCGGTCAAACATACGCCATTATGTGGAGGTGGCATATATTGAAAGTTCAAAATTCTTTTTTGCAACTTCCACTCCTCATCAATAAAGTGAGAAGTAACACACAAGAAACCATCTGTGTTAATAGAAGACCACAAATCAGCAGTTAATGAAATTCGACCAGGAAGTAACTCAAACAATTTCTTGAGTTTTCCTTTTTCTCTTTTAAACAAATTCAGCACATCTTCTTTAGCGGTGTTTCTAGTAATTGTGGTAACTTTTTCATTTAAGTAACTAAAGATTTCTCTAATACCCTCATACTCTACAAACCTAAAGGGAAGGTCATGCTTGACAATAGCTTCACTAATAAGTTCACGGAATCTTTCGGGTTTAAAAACTGTGGAATTTATTGAAATTGAACCACCTGATTTTGCAAAACTGAATTGTGCTATGTCACTTTTGTCCCTTCTTGGACACTTTGCAATGTGATTTCTCAAGCTACCTGTTCCATTTTTTGTTTCACAAATGTATCTTTTTTTGCACTTATCACATTCAGCCCTTTCCCTACCATCTGCACCAATTGGAAGTCTAGTATAATACTTCCATACCTTAGACCACCTTTCCCTTTCCATTTTTACATGATCTTCTTCACCCTCTACTTTAACATCTACCTCCACAACATCAATGTCATCAGCTTCTTCTTCAAGTTCTACATCCTAAAATAAAAAAGGAGGGTCTTTTTCAGAAATTATATAATTTAGATGGGGAAAAGTTTAAAAAAAATAATAAAATACTGAGGAGCTACAGTTGCAGAATGTGTATCTGTTTTATTAAGCTTTGCCTTTTTGTATTATGTGTTTTATCAAGCTTTGCCCTCTTCATGTCGATTTTCTTATCAAACTGTTTGAAATAAAAATTGGAAACAAATATTTAAAAGAAAGCTGCAATATGAAACTAAGAAAGCAATCAGAAGCAAAATATGGAGTGTACAGTTTATTAAAATAACAACAAAATTCAGAGTAATCAAGAAGACTAGAAGTATAAGTAAAATCAAGTATCTTAGAAACAAATATGGAGCAATATTAGAAGTAATCAAGAGATAAGACGTATACAACTTCTCCTTATTGCAAAATCAATCAAGAATTATCACAGAAATATTTTTATTTTCTTTTTGTATAAGAAACTACAAAAAAAAGCAAGTGACAAGAGTGCACAAATGTTTAGTGCTATTACGTATTTGCGTACTTAACGATATCACAATTCACAAAAGTCTTTTTCTAAGTAACCAGTTGCAACATTCTTTGAAAATTAAATAATAAAATTACCTTTCTTGCGTCAATTGTGGTTGAGATTTGAGAAGCAATAAAGCAAGTATATGAGTCAATTGCGATTGTCTGAACGGCTAAACCATAAACGAAACAAGTTTGAGAAGCAAGAATAGGAAACGGCTAGAGCAAATTGGTTTTGCGATCACCGATTGTCGGCTTGTGGTTGAGGGATTGTAGTTTAAAAACAAATAATGAACTGGAGATTCCTTTAACAAAATTGATTGCGTATGGTTTTCAAATAATACCGCCATCAACGGTTTATGGTTCTAGTTCTATTGAGTATTGAGAATGGGGAAATGCAAAACGCCGATTAGAATTTCTAAAAGTCTTTTGGGTTTTCAAAGAAGCCGATGGAAAGGCCTAGCCTAGGTCTTGAATCCTTAATTGTTTAATTATTTTAATGCATAAATTTAAATACCTATTATTATTATTTATTAAATACCTATCATTTAATAAAGTGTAAAATGGAATTATCGTGCTATTATCGTTTTAGTATCGTTCTATAGTCGTGTTTCATTTCGTTTTAATATCGTGTTATAGTCGTGTATATATCGTGTTTTAGTCGTGTTGTTATCGTTTCTAATTTCAAACACGAACACGACACGACACGACGTCGTTTTTTTTTTAAACAACACGAACACGAAACGAACACGAATTCGAATTTCGATTTCGTCCCAATTTCGTTTCGTGTCGTGTATTTTTGTCGTGTCGTGTCAACTTTTGCCACCCTAGGAGTGATGACTTGAGAGTTGTAGGGTATAGTGATGCTAGCTTCCAGACTGATAGGGATAACTTCCGCTCTCAGTCGGGCTGGGTCTTTACCCTAAATGGAGGAGCAATTTCTTGGAAGAGTTCCAAGCAAGAGACAGTGGCAGATTCTACTTGTGAATCAGAGTATATTGCAGCTAGCGAGGCGGCAAAGGAGGCGTTATGGCTGAGGAACTTCATTGGAGACCTTGGAGTTGTACCAGCTATTAAAGAGCCAATGGAAATTTTCTGTGATAGTGAAAGTGCTGTTGCCTTAGCCAAGGAACCAAGGGATCACGGGAGATCCAGACACATCGACAGAAAATACCATTTCATCAGACATCGGATCGAAGAAGGACTCCTCGTGGCAAAGAGGGTATCATCAGATGAGAATCCGGCAGATCCCCTCACGAAGGGACTGACTCGGGTTAAGCATCTCCAGCATGCTCGGAGCATAGGGCTGAAGGATGATATTAGATTTAGTAGTTAGATAACCTCGAAATTTGTAAAGTGTAATTGACATTTGATGATGAATAAAAGTGTTTTATTTATGAGTAAAGTGTTGCTATCTCTTGTCGATCGTTTACTATATTTCTTTTGCATGTTTTGACTTCCAGAATAATTTTGTTTGGTATAACATATTATTCAAACCTCCACAGTCGGTCATATGTCGGAAGTAGGTATGAATCAAGACTGTCATGTTTGGTTGTAGAGGTCTTGGACAAGGCTACAACAATCATGAGTGCTCATAAGTTCTGAGCATTGGACTCAACCCACGCTCACTGGAATCACTTCATGGAATTCTATCTCGAGTGATCGTGAGACGGTAATATCATATAAGTCTTTAAACCTAGAGATATGATTTGTTACTTACAAGTTGGTTATGCATTGATTGTACGAAAAAGCATTGGTAACTCGATGTTATAAATCGCGCTCTTGTGTGTAATTCAATGAGTAGTAGAACAAACATATGAGTCGAAGTTTATCTGTTCCTTCTTGGATTAGAAGCTGATATCTGGGCCCCTCGATGATTTTGTTTTGACCTATGTACCGGGCCCGGTCAGAACTAATTGATGTGTTCAATGAAGTTCTTTGTCAAACAAATCGGAAATCGGGAAACAAATGTTGGACAATAAGTAAGACATTGTTCCATGTATTTGTCCGACTGATATCTAGAACAGAGGATTATATGATCACTTATCTTAAATGGCGTACCATCATCTTCTCAGTTTCGAGAAACCTTGAAAAGAGCTACGATTGCCGATCGTTCCTGAAGTCATACTTGCAGTAATAGTTATTAGACTTATCCAAGTGGGAGACTGTTGGATAAGGTGTCTAAGTCCATAACTATTTCTGGTATGTACTTGACCCGACCCGGCATGGTCCATTTGGGTTGCATGGCACCATGCAATTGGATAGACTAAATGAGAGAAATAACACTTGGAGATTATTAATATATTATAAGTTCTAATATATTAATAATATTATTTGATTAGTTTGATCAAGAATTAATTTAGAATTAATTATGTGATCAAAAGATAACTAATTAAATATATGGGTTGATTATGTAAATCATCCATATCTTGTATAGTGGGCTAAAAGGCTCCATGGACTATCAAGTTGGGTTCCACCCATAGGATGCTCCATGGATGCTCCATGGGAGTTACAAACCCATGGGTCATGGAAATGAAGAGTCATGACACATTAGGGTTTAACCCTAGATGTGTCAACACTATATAAGGAACATGTTCTCCACCTAAAATCGGCTACACTAAGAAACAAGAGGGCTTGGCCGATTTTGAAGAGTGTGTGTTCTCTCATAAGTTCTTCCAAGAGCATTTGGTGTTGTGTGAAGCATTTGAGGCATCACACTTGGGGTGCTAGGCTCACAAGGTTTCAAGGAACACAAAAAACAACAAGGTAAGTTATTCTATCTATACATTAAGTTAAAATTGTTCCCCATGTATGCTAGATAGGAATATAACCTTGGAATTCAACTTTGCATGACAATTAGACAAACATAGATCCAAGGTTATTAGGGTTGCATGTACACTTAGGAAGTGTTAGAATGCTCAAAACCCATCAGTTACATATAGCTATGCATTCCTTAGAGATCTATCAGTAGTGGTGGTGTTGTAACGCCCCAAAATTCAAGACCAAAAATTTCTTTTAATAAAACATTACTTAAAGCAAAATCATCAATCCAAAACATAAATAGAGTATTAATTTCCAAAACACGTGTTCGTTATCAGAGTAAAACATTCCTAGGCTGTCTAATCAATGGTGTGTGCCATTCGATCACCCCGAACTCTTCCCTCCGCTACCGGAAGTACCTGAAACCAAAACTGAAAACCATAAGCACGAAGTTTAGTGAGTTCCCCACCCTACCACATACCATGCATAACCATATACTGCACATACTGGGCCACGCCCACTATCTTGGGCCTCGCCCCCTGCCTCGGGCCTCGCCCACTATAACGGCCCCGCCGCTCCAGGCCCCGCCTGGCTTCGAGTCCCGCTCGGATACAGATCTGTTTTACGTAGGCCTCGCTTGTCACAGGGCCTCGCCCGCCAACAAATAATAACACATAAACATATCACAGGGCCTCGCCCGCCAACAAATAATAACACATAAGCTAAACTCATACGACTGATCCTGTCCTAAGGCCTCGCCTATCCTGGGCCTCGCCCTTGTCCTGCTACTGATGAGTCATGGAACCCCATCCACGCTCCTACTGGTAGTGAGATACGGGCCCAGCCCACTCTCACTCCTTCCCTAACTTGGGCCTCACCCCTGTTCTACTACTAATAAGATGTGGAACACCATCCACACTCTGCTATTGGTGAGATACGGGACCTCGCCCACACTCACCTCCCTACCAGGCACATACATGTATTACATAGACAACAAGTATAAACTATCATATAAACAAATCCTTGGGCACCCGCCCGCTATTAATAGACCTCGTCTTGAATATCATACTAGCATACTATGCCTAGGGCTAACCCCCGGGCCTTCTACTCATAACTACATGGGCCGGCATTGTGGCCTTAGACCTATTCACACAAAGGAAAACTCACCTGCACTGGCTGAACTTGCTGATGATCTCACTAGCTGCTGCCCGGTAACTCTCTGAACTCCTGCTCCCCTTGTTCCCCGAACTACCAATATCAATGCAACACTGAGTCTAACTGACCCCCCCCCCCCGAGAGACAACCAAGTCAACTCTGGTCAAAGTCAAAGTCCTGGTCAAAGTCAACCTTCCAGGTCAACCCTACTCGCCGAGTTCATATGTTCCGAGTCCTTCCATTCGCGACTTGACTCGCCGAGTCGGTCCATGACTCGTCGAGTCTACCGATTTTCGAGTCCTGACCTGTCCAACTCACCGAGTCTCCATTCGACTCACTGATTTGAGTCTCATCTCGAAGGGTTTGGGGTATCGCGACCTGACTCGCCGAGTCCAAGAGCAGACTCGCCGAGTACAAGGCAATCTTCATCTGACTCGACGAGCTGTTCATCCCACTCGTCGAGTTGCTCCTAACCTTCATGCTACTCGCCGAGTCCTCTCAAAGGACTCGCCAAGTCTATTCAGATCTCCTTACATGCAGAGGACTTTTGAGTCATGCATGGACTACAAACTGTAGATCTACCCTTCCCAAGCCTATTCCTCACGTAAAGTTGCAAACTTTACGTGTAGAGAAGGAGATCTAGGCAAAATACACCATAAACTAGGGTTTAAGGCAAAGAGGCTCCATAATCAACTCAAAGGCAGATACTTTATGCTTCTCAAGACCATAATATGCTTAGATCTGAAGTAGCAACTTCAGATCTGGCTTCTAACTCATAAGAGGTAGCTAATCATGGCTAGAAAGCCCCCACCAAAACTCACAACCATAATAGATCTAAAGGAGGGAAACGACTTAATACCTTCAATAACTCAGAAAGCTTCCCCAATCTTTAGATCTAAGACCAATCCTTGAAGCTTCAATGATTCCCCTTCTTCTTCCTCCTTCAAATCACCCAAAAATGGCTTGGAAGCTTGAATGAGCAACAATGGGGCTTAGGGTTCGCTGTTCTAGGTGAAAGAGGCAGTAAAGGAACCCTAGGGGAGAGAATGAGACGTTTAAATAGGCTCCAAGTCCCGAATTTAGGGTTTTCCTCGCACAGACCAGACTCGCCGAGTCCCCTTGGCCGACTCACCGAGTCGGTCACTTACTCGTCG